TCATCGTTTGATCCATCTCACTCCAGCTGACTATGATGACTTTGTGAATGCCATCCGCAGCGCCAGAAGCGCCTTCTGCCTGACTCCCATGGGCATGATGCAGTTCAATGATATTCTCCAGAACCTAAAGCGCAGCAAGCAAACGAAGGAGCTGTGGCAAAGGGTCTCTCTGGAAATGACCACCTTCTCGCCGTGACAGCAGGCGGAGCTCCACGGACACACAACCCTTTGTCCCACATAGTTGTAGTTCCATTTACACCATCCTTCCTTCTGGTGTCTTTTTTATTTTAGATTTAACTTGTTGGAAACCACTGATCTGATGTATTTATACCATGACATTCCTCTCCAGCACTGTTGCGTGTCGGCGCTCTGCTTGCTCGCTCCTCCTCCTCCTCCTCCTCAGTGGGCTGCAGGCTTCAGAAGCATCAGGAAACAAGAAGGAAGTTGAGCTGGCTGCCCTGTGGTGTAGTCACCGCTTTTTTCCCTGTGCCCCTGGAGGCTGTCCTGCGAGCACTTTGCAGCGTGAACACGCACATGTTAGAGGGATGGGGGATTCTGTCTTAAATATTTATTTTGGCATTTATAAATATGTAAACTTTTTTTTTGTATGGGCTTACCTTACTCCACACACCACCTCCTTCTGGGAGAGGCTGGGACTGCTGTGCACAGCCAGCCATGCTCCCTCCATTCCTTTCAGCACCTCCTGCTGAGAGAAGCTGAGACTGGAGTAGCAGGGCCAGGGCCACCTCTCTAGCTTTCTGCAGCAGCTGCTGAGGGCAGAGGCTGGAGCTTGGGCAGTCAGAGTCCGTGACTGCGCTGAGCTGCCTGGAGACTGCCAGAAGTGCTTGGGCTCTTTCTCAGGAGCGTCCCTCATTGGGCACTGCTGGCTCATAGGATGTTTTGTTCGGAGTTGTACAATCGTGTTTCTTTTGCTGGGGTATTACTCTCCTGTAATCAGTTTCTTATCCCTTGTCTCTTCTTGTTTCCTGATTAAACACTCGTTTTCTTAGACTGACTCTCTATTCTCTCTGCTGTGATGTTGACAGTCTGATGTTGCTGGCCAGCTTGTGCCAGTGGATGTTCCTGTGATCTCTGGTATAGCTGTCCTGCCTTGGGGAACAGCAGCCCAGCACAAGGCAGCTGGCCAGAGCTTTTACACAAGCTTGCCTAGTACAGCTCTGAGAATGACATGCCCCTGCAGAGGCTGAGATATGTGTGGACTGGGTCAATGATGGGTGTCAGGGCAGATGGTGGAAGCCTGGGATGTTCTGCCTACGCTTCTGCCAGGCAACAGGTTACTTTGCTGGTCTTCACACCAGTGATACTGTGTGGTGATGTAGGGCTCTGTATTTCCGAAGCATCATGCGAAACAGTAGCTGTTCACCCTTGATGTAATTGTTAAAGGTGGCTTGTGGTCTGTTCCTGTGCATTTCGGGAGATGTTTGGTGGACTGTGCAAGATATCCAGTAGGGAGTGCACTGCAGAAAATTAGTCTTAGAAAGCTTTTATTTTTATGCCAGGAAAGTTTAAAAGGCTACTGCTATTTGTAAGCATACAAGCACATAAATTTCAGGGCTTTTAAAACTCAACTCAGATGACTGATGGATGTTAAGAATCCAATTTCTCAGGAGTAATGTATTTTGCTTCTTACTTGGGTTTGGCTAATGACAATGGGGAGCTTTTAGTTTGTGCAAGTTAGAAATATGTGCCCGTTTTTCATTGATACTCTTAAAAATGAACTGATACATAGGCGCAGGGCGAAACAGATGAACAGACTCCTTTGGTTTGACTTTGTGTGCTGCACGGGCCGGAGTGTGACTGAGGCTCCTCTGCTTCTCACTGTGGAACAATAACTATTTAAAGACCTCCTTATAGCCCCTTGTATTCTTCCATAAGGTATCTAGTTACAAATGCTAATTATAAATTACTATGTTTGTAAGACTGTGTTAAGTGTTTGTGGTTTTTAAACTAAACTTCATGTTGTTTATAAGCTGCCTGTTACTGGGCAAAACTCCTGGATTTGACTGGAGAGCACAGCCTGATGTCTGGAAGGTTTGGGTTCCTGGAGCACTTTCTGTGCTCCCTGGTTCTTGCACGTTCAGGACTGGGAAGGGAGTTTGGAGAAAAATTAGTTTTCTAACGAAGTTTTATCTTTTCCTTTCTACTGCTTATAGGAGAAAATTTGGGGAAGAGAATGCAGCATCTTCTAGAAGGAAAGAAGCAGAAGGGAAATGGGCAAGAGAGATGAATGTGTTAAACATCAGGAGCGGAAGCGACTGTTGCTGCATTGAGGATTTGGGCTGAATAGGGAAATGAAATGGCAGAGCTTTATCTGTGGTGTCTATTAGAAGATTACACTTAGACCCTGAGCAGGCAAGTTTTCAGACCACTGTAGTTAAACACCAGGAGCATGAGAGCACTGTCACCAGTATCTTTGTTCAGGGAAAATACAGTGGAGTTGCTTACCATGAGGTTAGAAGGGACTTTATCTGGAAGTGTACTTGCTGGCATTCTGTGTAGTCCCCATGAAGACAGTAAGAGAAAAGAAGTCACAATGCCTGTTTCCTTTCACTGTGCTCAATACTTTCTCTGTTTGGTTATTTTGCTCATTCTAATCCTTATACAGGTGTGCTTTCATATGCCAGACCCTGTCAGAGTTGTCTTCCAGCAGCTGCAGAGTCCAGACAGAGAAAGAGTCAGGGAATCTCACCACAAGCTGACACTGACTGAACAAGCAGCTCAGTGCTATGAGACACAGGTCAGTAGCTTCAGAAATTCCCAGTCTGTTCTCTGAAAGTGTTTGCTCAAGGTGAGCAAACAGAGCTGGGAACTGCGTGGAGGCGCTGCTTCCAGAACACACTTTCAATTCCAGATCTCTGCATCTGTTAACCTGTTGTTGTTCCTGAGCTGTATCCCATGGAAATATATCTGAGCAAGGATAGGAGAAAGGAGACAATGATGGATTTTCTTGGCATGTGGCTGGGAGGTTCTTCAGGTATTTTTCCTTTATAAAAGATAGAATGAGCCCTGGTGGCTCCAGAAGCACTAATTTACTATTAAAGCAGAAAAATTATTACCCAGTGTAGTCTTGTTAGTTTGGTCCCTATTCGAGGAGCAGGGGAAATACTTAGGCTTAGAGGTTCTGAAAGGACATTTCAGCAGAAGGCCTGTAAAAGAGCAGAGGTTGTAGCCAACTCAAATTTCCTTTGACTTTAAGTTAAGCCATGTGGGTTTTTTTTTTCACTTAGAGTAAATGTTCTCTAGGTCCTTGCCCTTACCAGCAACACATGAAGTGGCTGCAGTGAAGGCCAGCTGCCACAGCAGCTGGGTGCTTTAGAGCCCTTCCATGTAGAAGGGCTCTGCATAGAAGAGCTTCTTCTGTGTAGAAATGGTTTTACATAGCTGAGAAGCTGTTTTCTGTGGTGGCTGCCACCTCTCCTCAGGCCGGACAGCAAATGCTCAGTTCAGTCAGTACTGAGAGCTATAGATGTTTGGACAGGGCCTGACCCCTGCACGCACACATGATAGTTCTGTGATGGGAGGCCTTGCAGTGGGTTATTGTTGTGTTTGGTGAAGTCTAATTCACTGTCTGTTCCTTGAAGGCAGGATGAATGAGGTCTTTAGACTATGCTTCTTACTGTGTCTTCTGTTCACAATGACATGCTTCGCTTGCCAGATTTGTTTTCTCTTGTGACCACGTGAAATATACATTTTAGCTGTTAGTCTCTGGAAATAACAGCTCACTTCAGTGGGGAGTTGAAGTCAGATTTGTACAGGTGCAGGTGAAACCAGCTGAGAAGTGGCTGATGTCTTTACTGCAACATACCTGCAGGCCATTTTTCACTGTCCTGCTCGTGTTGAAGATGCAACTACTTAATAGGGCAGTATAGAAGGGCAGCCTTGAGCTCTGACTTAACCCACTGTCTGCACTCAAAGTTTTGTGGGTACTTCCGCTAAACAACTTAGCAAGGGGCTTAGACGTGCATTTTGCTGCTCTGACCAAGGGTCAGTACATGCAGATAAAAGCAGATAGTGTTTAGGACACTTAGAAGCAACTCCTTAAAGATAGAGATTTCCTCCGCATATACAGTGGGGGCCATACATCAAAAACCGTAAGGGAGCAGGTGTGAGAAGTTAAAGGTGAGGAGTATTGTAAGTGAAAGGGCCTTTTTCCAACCCTCCCCTTCCCTGAGGATGTTAGTGGGTGGCCATGTAACAACTTTACCCCTTGTCTGTATGCAGTCTCGTCCTATATCTGGGACAGCAGCATTTCTCAAACTTAAACTGTTGATCCCTGCATAGTTTCTGAGTCTTTAGGGGTAAAATCTTGGTGTTAGTGTAGTTGGAAGACATGCCAAGATTGCACTTTGGATATTTGGCTCGTTTAGAAGGAATAGTGTGATTTTTGCTCTCATGGAATGGATAAAATAACGGTTTTGGTCATAGCAAGCCTTGTTTGTTGGAAAACATCTTGTGCTGCTGCTGCTAACCCTTCTCTGTGTAGATCAGGTATGCCAAGCTCTGAGAGGGCCAGCTCCCCTCCTGCCTCTCCAGACATGTTCACCTACAACCATCTTTCTTGCCTTTGAAAGCTTTCCTTTGTAAGCACTTTCCATGTTAGCAGAACAGTATTTGCCTTTCGACTTCAGTGTCTTTACAGCCCGTGAACAAGCTGAGTTGAAGTTGTCAGCTGATGAAGCAAGATGTCTAGCAACAGGTACGTCTGGAGTTACTTAACTGTGGAGTGTGTTCTGTCTAGTTTTGTGTACTGTCATTAATGTTTATTTGGATACGTATTTTCCGTCTCTAAGAACCCATTCAGAAATAGCCTCCTGCGGAGCTTTTGAACCTAAACTGTTTTTTAATTCTTTGTGTGGGTTTGGTTGTTATCAAGCTTAGCACTGTTGTATTCTGGAGCAGAATACAGGCTCTGACTTTCCCAGCTTGTTTAGCGCTAGCTTAGGTATTGCTACACAGCACTATTGTGCACTGAACGGCCTTGCAAACCCCAGCCCGTGGAAATGGAGCAAGTATCCCCATGAAGCTTATCATCGCCACCCCTGGCATGAGTCAGTCAGCTGTAACATGACCCGAGTTTGAAATCCTTGTCTGTCGTTTTCTTACTCAGACATTAAAAGGACAACAGGGTATTGAAATGAATTTTCCAGGATGCACCTGGGGAGAGAGTGTGCCAAAACAGGGAAGTGTTCACAGTCTGCTGCTGAGGCTGGCAGGCTGGGCCATGAGGATGTTTCAGCATCTGTTGATGATCGTGACTGTTGTATGACTTTGATTTTAAGCTCTCCTGATGGAGTGAACAGCTCTCAACTAGTTTATTTAGACTGCTTCATGTTTTCTCGTTCTGTGCCTGAATGTAAGTAAGTAAGTGCCCTATCACATGATTATAAGGAGGGGATTTCTTAAGCAGTACCTTCTTTTGGGTTAGGGTTTTGTTTTTTCATTATTTTTTTAAAACTACCTCCCCTCTCACTACCTCTCTACCCCCCACATAATTCAAATGTGGCTTTTGAACTTATTTCTGCTTCCTGTTTCCATTTTAAGGGTACTCACACTAGGGGTAGGGCAGTGCAGGCACCTGTTAAAGAGTGGCATTAAGCCGTGAAAGCTCGAAGTGCAGCTTGGGGCTGTTCTGTGCCAGGGTTTTCATTTGAGCCTGTGCCTAGTTAATGCTCTTTCTCAGGGTAACGTCCAAGTGCTCCATGTGCTGTCAGAAGGTCCCTTTGCTCTATAGTGCTTCTTGTTGGTACAGACAGTGACTATGCTCTGTGCTTCATGGCACTGCCTGCTTAGTTACAATGAACAGGGATGTGTCTCCACTATCTCCTTCCATGTTGTGGTTTACTTTGCCTCTTCTAAGTAAGTCAGCCAGGAGAGCTTCTGTCAGGAATTTGGGGGCTTAAAAGGCAGCTGTTGTGCAGAGCCTTAGTGTCAACACAGTGTTGTAATTCCAGAAATGAACCTTCTCCAGTGAC